AAAATAAATTATGACAAGTATTGTTAACACATTTTAATCATGATTTCTAACGTAACTCAACAACATTTTTTAATACAAAGAATTAATCATTAATGAATTTTTTAACCAGTAACTCATGAAATACTCGTTATGGAGGCACATATTTAAATATTATTAGATAGAGGAAGTGGATCCAATATGAATCGGATGCAGCATTGCAATATAGATTGTTAGAGAAGGGAAATGGGGAAGGGGGATCCATTCTACGTCAAACTAATGCAGAAAGGAGATGGGTCATTGTGTCTGAGAAGGACATCATAGAATGGGCTTAAAATTTTGTTAAGGTGACAAAAAATGGCCATGGTAAGGGAAAGGCACGTGCCCTTGTTGTCTTCTTGTCAAGTGTCCTCTTAGGGTGGACTGTTTTATGTGTTTGTGTTGGTAAACATAACAAGCAATTAAAGACATGGCAGTGATTACTTGGATCACGAGCTCCACCATAAATCCAACCTAGGGATCTTTCATAAATTGACATCCCCATTTGCCCATCATAAAAATCCTCAAATGGGATTTTGTCGGTCACAAACAACCCTCTCTCTGTGTGTGATTCTAGAGGGGTCCCTTCAATGTGTTACATATATATCTTATTGTTCTACTTGTTGTTCCCTTGTGCTAAGTAATATGTTTTAACCAATCTACACCATGTGTTTTCAATTAGCTGTCAAGATGGCATAAAGTAAAAGAAATGTAGAGAAAAATAAGAGGCTAGGGAGGTTTCAGTTTGAGTAGCCCCTACATTCAAGACTTTATCCTCATTATTGATATATACTATAAAACAAGATGAAATGTTCAACATCCATTTGTTGCTCACTATTTCAGATGGAGAAGAAAAAGACTACAAGCTCAAAATCAATTAGGTAGAAGAATGGGACTTTTCAATGAAGATAAGTTTGGCAAGGGGAAATTATTCAAGATCTGAAAGCGAATGGCAACTACCTTGAAATAATATGCAATTGATTTTGGATATAATTATGTTAATCATTAATGGTACAAAAGAGTGGTTTGACATGTTAATAAGAAGTGTTTCCTCTTAGGTCAGCATACCCACTAAATTGAATGGATATATGCACTTGGTAAGAAATTATGCATGCATTTGTTTTGGACATTTTAAAAGTACTCAATCTAAACTTGTTCTTCATTGATTAGTCTTAATTATAACATTTAGTGGACTAACTTCTATGTTTATCGTTGTTCTTACCCTGATCCATTATTTAAGATTTCAATTAATGTTTGACAAATCAAACTATCACCCAACTTTGACAAGAACCTGACTTCGGTGTTAGAGCTCATGTAACCAATTAGTTTATCTTTCTCAACTCTATGCCTATGTCTGTTACCATATATGATATGTTACATCTGTTTGTGGTTGTTGATGATATACATATATGCTAAAGTAGTTTTGACTAGTCACAACAAAAGTTGAAAATCTTTTATTGTTGTCACTAGTCAGTGATGAAGTGCCAAGAAAAATAAGCCAACACTGCCTAACACAAACAGAAGAAACATCAAGGGCAATCACACGAATGCTCACTCTACCATTGTGGTTGTTCTTTCCCAACCTTTCTCCATCTGTTGTGCATACCCTTATAAATGAGATGGTTTAAGCAAAAGCACTATGAAAGGGATTGAAGAGAAGCATTAGAGCTAAACACACCACGGATTGGAAGTTGAGACTAGTTATGTGAAAATTAATTAGTTCACCAAATTTCTATAGAATTCAAGTTAATCTGGACCATTTGAATGGCTTCATTGTAAAGAACATTTTATGAGAGTGACATGTTGAAATAAGGCACATCTGGGGGGCATGTGGATATGTTTCAATGCCCTCAAAGGACCTTTCATACCATGAACACATGCAATGATAATCTACAATCTATACTACCACATGATTTTTGAAGATGTTACAAGACATTATAGCTTGTCCCAACTATAAGATAGTGAGGGACATGCTACAAAGTTGCTCATAGACCTCCACCATATGCGTTGTACTTTACTGCATGCAAGGCTATGTGATCAATCCCCTTGTCAGTTCTCAAACAAGTCCTTGGTGGGATCCATATTAGTGGTGTTGTCTGCTGCAACCAGACATGATATGATTTCAGCCTCTGGACCATTTCTATGCTTTTGTTAGCTTTTCCCTGCAACTACCTCCTTTTCTATAAAGCATACAAAATATTATTGGTTTTCTTCCTTCTTTTCAAATGCAAAACACCAAATTTTATTCAAATTGTTCATCACTTGCTGTTTCCTTAACCGTTTGGTAAACTTGTTTCCAACTTGAAAGGTTGATTAATTGGCAGCACATGCAAATCCATCACATAGACTGAAAAAAAAAAAATAATAATAAATAAATAAATAAATATATATATATATATATATATATATATATATATATTCTGTTGATCAATTAGTTAAAGGACTGTAAATGTAAACCAAATTCAACTCTAGCATTATATTTTGTGACATCCTTTACTGTTTATATTCACTTCAATCATAACTTTGGTAGGAACTTAGATGGTGTTTTTAATGTTTCCACTCATAGTGGACTAATATGTAATGCTATGATATATTACTAATTACCAAATCTTAAAATCTGGGTATGGTTGGGTAGAAAGAAATTTAATCATTTTTACATTCTGATATTACCTACCGCACGTGCATCTGAAAGTAGGACACCTACACAAAACATTGTACTTGAATTTTGGGTTTACGTTATTATCTACACAGGACCAAATATGTGTTACCCTTTAGATTTTCATAAATGGTTTAATTGAACCGGTACCACCTACACTTAATTTTTTTCAGTGTAGTCCAAATCATGCATTTGTTCATGAAGCTATATATTTACTTTGGGTAGATGAAAATTTTTAAATGGATTTTAATTTTTTTAACCTTCTCAAGCAAATATAGAATAAGCATGTGCCCACGATTTCTCTCCTAATTAATTTGACCTCTATTTGTAGAATGTAAATAACTGCGGAAATAATTATGAGTGGGATAAAATAAAAGGAGGAATAACACACTGTTTAGAGGAAGGAAATGAAGACAGAGTGAGAAATCAATATTTCTCCTAATCAAGATGTTTAATGTACAAGATAATGTGGGATCAAATCAATCAATCTAATTATTTGTTTGGGAGCTAAACAGGTTTATCTTTTAACAGTTCTTCCCTTAGTTATTATCATAAACAATTAAAGACTTCAATTTTAAAACATACTACTTTGAGGGATTCAGACTTAGTTTATTGTGAATAAAAAGTTTAAGATAACTGAAATTAGAAATTGATTAATCCAACTCAAGTCGACTAAATCCATTCAAAATGCATACTTTATTCAAAGACTTAAATTAAAGACCTTATCTAATGAATTTAAATTCCTTATCATTCATTCTACTAGGCATTATACTTTATTTATATACAAATTAAAGCACCAATTGTGATATCGATACCTTAGCTGTCAAGTCAGTTTTAACTTCAATTTCATATTGTCAACTCAGCCTTTTCTGTTTGAGTTGTGTTCTTACAAATTAATCTCTTAGTTGTTGTTTAATTTAATCTTTTAATGTATGTCTTTTGAGTGAAAAACATAAATGAGTTACTTTAAGAGTGTTTATGCAGCACATTAATTTATGTGAATATCATTTCGCATTCTTTTATCAAAATCTACTCCGAATAAATCAGATAAGAGAAAATACAAAGTTGACAAAAAAAAAAGATACCAAATCTAATTAACTATCAAAATTGTACGAACATGTCTGCTTAACAATGTTAACACAAAACGATCAATTCGTTAAGATTGTCTACCTTAGGATTGAGTCAAATAATAAATCAGACTCTTAAATTACACCAAAAGTTTCTATTCATATTTGAAAAGAAAAATTCAACTATTATTGAACTTATTACAGTGTTGGTTTCTGCTTTGTTTTTTAGTGATACCCGATGAGTAGGACTAGGCGAAGTTTTCTCGTTATGTTTCCCCTTACCTTTGGGTCTTGTAGTCACATTTTAGGGGGTGTCTAATTTGGTCCTTTCCTGAGGGGTGCCCATTGTAAATTAAACTAAAACAATTCTACGCTAGTTAATTCATTTGCTCGGTGGTAACCATTCAGTAATTGGGTATTTTTTTAAAAATTTAATTTTTAAATTTGATAATACATTTTTTAGAATTTTTTTTATAAAAAAAGTAGTGTAATTATAAGAAGCGGTGAAAAAATCCTAGTAATCAAGCCGAAATCTAAGCTCGCCACAACATTTACTGCTTAAGTCCATGTGTAAGCCCACTACTTTAGCTCATATGGCTCTTGTTTTGGTCAACTAGAGGTCAGAGTTAGTTGGTAATCTTTTGTGAATTGTTGAGTCATTGGGCTTTGAGCTTGTAGTTTTTAGCCCATGTTTTGCACCAGTTTGGGCTTACTCGTCTTTAATATATTATTGCAAAGATGTCCCAAAAAATAAAAACAGACTATGTGCCTTGAGCTCAAATCAATTAGCAAAAATATAAGGATGGGAAGTGGCAAGAATTAATGCTAGTAAACTTGTAATGATTAAGAAGCCTGTCATTAACGGCTGGAATCACAGTTGAAAACAAGATTACGAATTGGGTGATAATCATAATTATCCCTTCAATCTCATAAATATACCAGTTAAACATTATAATATTATAACTCTAGCATAAAGCTAGAAAGTGTAGCTCTGTGCACAAATTTTACCCCTTTTTCATCCAGGGCTAGTTTTACTTTCACAAAGTACGGACTCGCCCAAAATTGCAAAATAACGTTGTATATTTTGGTTTGTTTTATTAAATTATTGTACTGTCCTCTTTCTCTTTAACTTTGATGCTATTTTAGACAAAAGAAATGCTAATAACATAGAGGGATGAAAAATCAAACATTTGTGTGATAATCCTAAAGATCAAAACTTTCTTGGTTGAATAAACAAAGGAGAATTTTCTCCATTATGCTTTTCAAGACTCAAATTGCTTGCCTTGAAAGGTTTGTCCAAAGCTCCAATCCTTGGGAGCAACATTGTAGGATGTAACAGTTATCCCATCACTGCCCATAACCTCAAATGAAAGAGGTTGGTTCTGTAACAACGCATTAACATGCCAATTCTGACCCCAATTCCGACCCATTGGAAGCCAACCAGTTCTTGAACCCTTAACCTTCACAGCAACAATGTCTCCCATGCCAGCCACATTACTAATCAGCACAGAAATGAAAATACCAGAACCAGTAATTGTGAACCTGATTCCCCCTTCCCTTCTGCACTTTATCCTGTTCCAAACATAAATATTACATCAAAACAAACAGTAGTAAGAACACAAATGATTGAGTTTCCAAGCACTATTTTATCATTTACCCCTCCTTGAAAGTATATGGGGTAGATTTTTGGATCTTTTAAGTTTCTTGAATTTTGATTAATGGCTGCTATTACAATGAAATATATATGCATTTTTTATAAATTATTAAATTACCAAAATTCATTAATCAAAACCTTCCACTTTATTTTGCTAACTCCTTACTTTAATAAATAGTCAAATCAAAGTTTCATTTGTTGTTTCATTAAATTCCATGCATGCTTTACTTTTTGTAAATTAAATACTTAAAAGTTAATATTATTTATATATTTATTTTTTATTTCTTACTTTTTATCTCTTTTTTTTTTTACACACATCTTAAAAATCACATAAAAAAATTATCCCCTAAAGTTATAAAAAGAGAGAAATGTTAAAAATATAGAAAGCAGACTATCAATTACTCATTATTTCTTAATCTTATATCATAATTTTCTAAATAAACATTTTAAAAAATGCAAAAAGCTTATAAAAGTAATTTATGAATTAGGGCAGCTATACACTTTTTAAAAACTTTTAGTCAATTTTTTAATATAAATTTATGAAAATAAATTCTTTTTAACTTATTTTACATTAAAAAAAAAGACTTAATTTAATTTATCAAACAAACTAACACTCTAAATCTTGATAATAAACTTACCATTATTGCGCAACTATTAAAGTAACTATTTTTATAGATTCTTGCAGAAAACCACATTATGGCTGTATAGAAAAGAATTCACCATCAATGAGTAAACTAGCAACTAAAGAGTGTTGCAAACATTAATTATGATTAAAATGAGTAATTGTAAATCGCAATTAGTCTTAAAAAATTAATGAATAATTTAGAAAAAGAAAAAGAAAAAATTGAGTGGGTGAAATTGTTTTGTACCTGCGAAACTGAACGGGCATGTTACCACTACCAGCTTTCCAGATTCCGATCTTCTCGAAAGCTTCAATGGGAACCACAAAATGCTGCTTCGGAGGGTTACAGTGTCCACCCAAGCTCTCTGCCTCCAACCCATAGTTCGGAGCGCAGAAATTGGTGGCGGTCACCGCGATCGAGTTGCCGGAGATGCACCACCGCCGGTCGAATGCCGCCTCCTCCTCACGGCAGCGAAGCTCAAAGCAGGCGCCGCAGATCTGGCCGCGGCCGAAGAGCGCGTCGCTGAGGGCGGCAGTGGCCATGCCGTAACCGCCCTTGATGAGGTCGCCGTAGCCGCACGCGCCACCCAGCGCGTCGCTAGCGGCGTAGTGGGTGGCATGGGCGAATAGCCATTCGGCGGCGGGGGGAGGTTCAGGGGCATTTTGGGAAGATGGCGCTGCTGGTGGTGATGGAGAAGAGTAATGAGAAGTGGCGCCTGAAATAACGAGTGTGAATACAAAAATGTTTAGTGTTAGTGTTCGTGACATTTGCTTCTTTGCCTGTAATGTGAATGAGTTGGTGTTAGTGTAGACTCAATTCTATATTCAAATTACATCCTCGTTCATGTTCGTAGAATCACAACGTTTAACTTTTTATCATTATTTGTTTGTTTGTGTTTTTTACTGCAGTCACCCTCTTTGTTTTAATCACTGTTGCACGTGAATTCTAGACATAAATATCAATAATAAAATGTGATGGTGTAAGCATGTCACTAGATTTTTCCACGCAGTTATTTGGCGTGTTTGAATTTATGGTAGTTCAACTTTAACTTCATTAGTTATAAATTTTGAGTTAAATTTATGTTTATAAAATTTTTTAACGTGATTTTGATTGGCTCAACTCTGTTTTCATGTTTGGAAAAAAATATTAATAGTGTAAAACACTGAGATTGGCGAGCAATGAATAGGGAATCCAAAATACACCAACCCATAATTTAAAAAAGAACAAAGATCGATGTAGATACAATTATAGCATTTGTCGTGAACGATGTTATCTTTTAATTTAAAATATGAATTGGGTTTAAGTATAGAAAGATGGGTTTTCTTTTTCTAATAAAATAACGTTACCATTCATATGTGTGATGAGCGAGGGAACTTTCTGAACTGAGTTTTTGGTCGAGAGGCCTATTTCTTATGCACAGAGAAAAGAGAGGGTCTTGTTAAGTTATAAATAAACTTGTTTATTGAAAATTACATAAATGTCATACTTTTTAATTAAAAAATTTCACTTTTGATTCTCAATATTTTTTTGAAAAAGATCAAAAGCCTGTAGACTTTCCGGGGGTCCCTCCCATGAAAGTCAGAAACGTTGGCCTATAATAATTTGATCCAATCTCGAGAAGAAGAAAAATACTATCTACTTCCTGTAAGGGCAATTGTGAAATTTTAATAATAATTGACTAAAAAGTGCAAGCCCATGCTATTCCTTGAGGACTTCGTTTTGGGCTCGTCATTTCCTGATAATGCCAACATTCACTTCTGAATTTCCTTAGGTAGGTTTATCTACTTTCACCTATATTGTGTAGATTCCAACAAGGGTCTCACTCATTGGCCATTAACTATTCTCCGACCTGGTGACATATATATAGTATACGAAAAGAGAAAGATAATGATGATGAACGTAGAGAGAACCATCTGCTTTGTTTTTCTGCCAATATAATGGCCCATTTGTTTAAATAAAATCAATCTGATAAAATTTGTAAACTGTCAAACATAATTCAATACAAAATTAATCTTAACCCATAAATTTTTATTAAAAAGTGTGACAATTAATATTTCAAGCAATAACCAAATAAGGACCAAGATTATTAGCTACATTCCTTTATTAAGAGATTCTTTATTGTGAAATAAAGTTAATATATATCTCAAAATAAAGTGAGCCCTCTCTTAAAGAGAGTATCTTGAAGAATATGTTTCTAACATTTTTTTTTCTAGTTATACCGTATTTGTCCCCTAATAATAACTTAGGCTAATGAATCTTTTGGCCTCTGAAATCCACAAAAGATGCCCTGTTGGAAGTAATTGCATCATAGTAAATTTGAGAATCTATGAACAAGTACTCATAAGCACTGCAAAAGTATGTATCTTACATTTTGTAGATTTATACGAAGCATAAAATGCAAAAGCCACTAGATAATTCACAATTGAAAGTCCCAAAAATACAAAAGCAAAGTTTATGGATTTGAACAGCTGGAGAATGTGCAATGCAACAGAAATGTCAAAATTTTCAGCTCCCCCTTTTTCCCTCCTTTCTGATACCAACTCTTTCAGAAGCTGAAACAGCTGTTACAGCTCATCTCAAAGGGAAAACTGCTTTGAAGAAAAACCCATCGGTGTAAGCTAAAGGGAAAGATGGATGCATTGCTCTTCTCTATTATGAACTGTTACAGATGAAGACCGGTTTTCTCCCCCTTCCATGCACCTTTTATATGGTACAAACCCTTTCCCACATCTTTCAGCTCTCACTCTCACCTTAAGCTGGGAAATTTCAGATGTTTCACTTGGTGTATTGTGGCCAACAAGTTCCAATTTTCCGTACCCTTTGCTAAGGCAAGGCGCATGTGCGTCTAGAGGTATTGGTTTGCATGCCTCAATGGTTGGAAAAGATTCTTCTGTTACAAATAGAGTCATTCCAAAAAGTTTGAGAGTTCGACCAGAAGATTCTTCTGCCGTGTCTTCTCTGGTAGAAAGACTTCTGTTGTGGAGAAGCTTGAAGTTCTAGACATTAAGATCAAGCAGGAGAATATAAAGTTATACACAATTTTTTCAATTCAAGCTATTATATGATGAGGTTGGAGTCAATAATATGAAATGGATTAGGAAGTACCATAAGGGGTTTCTCATTATGAGCTGAATCCGCATTTAGTGCAGCTTCCTCAGGTGTTGTTTTGGGTTCGGCAAGTGTAAAACCGCTTGTATGGATGCCACTAATGGATGACGCGGGAGATAAACTTCCATTTGGTGTATCTGAATCAGAGGAGCCAAGGCTGTCTGAACCAACGGCAGACAATACTGATTTTGGAGATTGGTTTTCTTGATCAAAATCCGATGACTTCATAGGTTGTTCTTGGATCAAGATTTCCTTATTAGGGGTCTCAACTAGCTTACGAGGGTAAGGATGCATTGGCTTTCGCTTTGGTCTTGGAGGCGGAATTTCAATTGACTCCACAGGGTTTGTAACGTTTCCAGTAGAGTCACGAAGAACCTGTCATTGAGGTATGACAAAGGAATTAGAGTGAATCAAAGCATAAATCAATTCAATTTCAACGATGGTAGCATTTTGGATATACTAGGGTCATCAAAATCATAACATAGTTGTGGTTTATGGTAAGTAGAAAATATGGCAAAGAATGGTTACTAGAATAGAACAGTAAACCTTAGAAAAAAACTTCTGAGCATGACTTCGAATCTGAACAGCAGTCTTTGTGCCAACATGTTCTGTGGTGCAAATAAAGCATCTCAAAACTTAGACCAAGCACAATCATACTCCTTCGTTACTTGTATTTCTTTTCTTTTTTTTAACTAAAAATCTTTTGATAGAATTCTCCAAAGATATGGAAGTTCTTAACTATTAGTACCTTCAATGCGTCTCCACGCTCGGCCATACAGCTTTAAAGCTTCAAGGAACTTCTTATGTTCTTCATCTGTCCATCTTTCTCGCTGTTTTGTGATAGTATATGGTTTCCTTACCTATTGAAGAAGAAAGAAAATTGATTAAAACAAAGAAGACACTAACACATGAAAAAAAGAAAGGCCAATAGTACATAAGAATTCAGGGAGAACCTTCAGAGCATAGTCATTTCCGCAGGAAAACTGATCATTAAGTTGAATATGTGAAACGGAATGCCGTCCTGAACTCAACGATACTCCATCTCCTACTGGAGGACCACCCTGTGATCTGTTATATCCATTTTGGTCCTACATTTGATTCAAAAAACAAAGAAAAACTAATGAATTATAATCACAAGGGAAACACAATTTTTCACATAATGCTATAATATAAGTGCCAACCAGACCAGAAATCAGACATCTTTCACGTGAATCTTTCACTCCAATGAAGACAAGCAGCAAAAATCAATCAGTCATCACAAATTCTATATTGAAATGACCCCTAAGAACTATTTGAAGGGGAAAAGAAACTAGTAAAACTACTCCTTTGGCAAAGACAAGAACAAGAGACAAGATCATTCATAGTCCCTTAAGCAGGGCCCCTTTGCTAATAACTGTTTCCTAAAGAGAAGCATTAAAAAAATTTACTTTTCTTTTTCAGGAGTGTAAATTCAATCCTTTTCTAAAATGTGAAATATATGCATATTTGGCATTTGAAATAGGTAGACCAAAACGCAATTAAGGTTCTCTCTTTTCCAGTCCTTTTTTTTAAGATAGTACCAAGCATATCCCACCCAACTCATAGGAATATCTAGCAAGAAATATGAGCAAACCAATAAAGAAATAATCAACTTTCAACCACAATCTCAACAAACCTATTAAAAATGAGAGTAAAGTATCAAATAATTTATATAAAGAGAAAACATAGCAGAAACTAATATATTACATACTTGAATCGCCATAGCTGCAGGAACCAAGCACTAGACAAGATCTTCTCCTCCTTCTTCAAAGTGCCAAACTTCCGCAACTCTCCCTTGGATTTTACTCTCCTCACTTACACAGATCACAATCACCAAGAACTTAAACTATTCTTTCTAGACACAAATCCCAAATAAGAAAAGTAAAACACAAACGAGCAAATCACAGGTTCCAAGCTTCCAACTCTCCGATTGAAAGCTGGAAATAGAATCAAATAAATTGTGTACAAAAATGGACCCACCCACCTTGATCCAAAAGCTAAATTATCATACAAACACTGCCTTCACTCTTTCACTTCATCAAACACTAATTTACACCTCAGAATCACATAACCTTCTCTATCTATAAGATCCAGTGATTACTCACTATCGAAGGTGATGATTGATAACCAAAAAATAAATCCCCTGAATCAATAGATACCTTTCCCAAGAGAACCATAAAAAAATAGTTATAACAAAATCCAATCTTTCTTTTCAAGATAAAAAGAAGCCAGAGCCAATACCATACTATCTAGCAGCAGCAAAAATACAAGGAATGGAAAATCAACAAAACCCACCAAAGAAAAGGGTTGAAATGGTTTCTCAGGGAAAGTGTTGTTGTTGGGTGTGAAAGGGAGAGAGAAAGTTGAAAGGTTGAGGTTATAGATGAACAGAGGAGGAGTAGAAGGATGAAGAAGTGAAATCTCTGACTCCAAAAGTGCTTGAAAAAAAAAAAGGAGCAAGGAGGGGATGACACGTCAGATGTTGAATTTCTATTTTCTCATAGAAAAAATTGAAAAGGCAAAACTAAATAAGTGTTTTCTTTTTTTTCTTATTCCTCCGACATCGAAATCTCGAGAATTCAAAGGAATCTTGTGGCTCACGTCGAAAGTTGTCGTGGACACGTGGCATACAGTTGTCAAGCTGTTTCTCACTTTTTTTTTTTAAAATCAAAAATTTTGTTTTTAATTCAGTGGACGAACAAAAAAGTACCCAGTATAAGCACTTTTGTGGATAATTTCGAACACGTCACACTCGCGGTGAGACTGTTGCTACTCGCGGGTTGGAGAACGCCACGTGTTCCCTTACTCAGTCTACAATTAAAGCTTGGCCCATGTTTTTTCCAATATACCAAAACAGATAAACGTCGTTATTTAGTAGTTTCGGTTCTAATGCTCTCTCCTTCTAAGGTTTATTTTCAGATATAAAATAAATAAAATTATTAGATAAATTATATGATATATAAGAGCAATTTAAGTTAGAAATACAAATAATACATGAGCCCCATCTGTCTTTAGTAATTAATATTTTCTGCAAGTTGCTTTAATATCATCCTTACATGATTTATGTGTAAAATTTAATATATATATAAATATATATATATATATATATATATTGTATGAATTTTAATTATTATTTAATTTTTAATAAATTTATATTTTAAATGCTTCATCAAATATTTTGTAAAAAAAAATTAGTTTTTTTTTTCAAAGAAACTGACTCTAGTGAGTAGTCTATCTCATAAGTTATTGTTACTATTTTAAGCAAAATTGTCTACTCATTACTAAAAAGAAACTGCTGGACTTGAAAAAAAAAATTGTTTTCCTTTTCATAATTTTAGAAAACGTATAAGTTCAACTAACTTATGATACTAACAAACTGAAAAGAACCAAGCTTTTTAATACTTTATTTTACAATATGTTAAAGAACTGAAAAAAGTAATGACCAGCAGGAATTTAATTTTATTTGAGTGGGTAGTTAAATTAGTTGTTGTTTTCCAAAATATTTTAAAAACTACGGTAAAGTGAGAGTTTTCCTTTATGACAGTAGGGTTTGAAAAACAAAACTATCAAGACCAATGAAACAAGCAAAAACTAAAATAAAATCAATAATAATGAGTTTTTTCTAAGATATTGCTTAAGAAAATAAAAAAATCATTTAACATATTATAAACATTATAACAAATATTATATATTAACAGTAAAACGTTGAGTTATAGTCTATATTCGATAAAAGAAATATCAATACAAATATCATAAATTTATATAATTAATAATTTGACAATAGCAACAAAAAAAAAAACTCTCTGATATAATAATAAATTGTTAGTACTTTTACATGACCTTATGAGTGGAGAGTGAGGAAGAAGCAATTAGGAAGGGTACAATATATTAATAAATAGAAGGATATTTGTGAGGTTAAAATATCTAGAGGGTCTTTAAAAAAAACAAGAGCGTAGTAGGCCAAGCCATTAGTTGTGGATCATAAATTGAAGAGAGAGTAAGTGATTGGGACTTTTCACTTTGCACTTTTCGCCACGTCATGTCCACTAGCCGACCCACTTAACACTAGCCGACCCACTTAACAAACACCGCCACGTGTACAAAAAAAAACAGAGAGATATTGAAGATCGTTCTGCTCCACTTGGTCTTGTTTTAAAATTCAAAATTCTCTAACCACATATTTTTATTTTGGGATTTTATTTCTGAAAAATTATATATGTGGTGAAATTACACAAAGGGTATTCAGAGGAAAACGTGAAAAGTTGCATTCAACATTCCGTTGAAAACATTTTGTTAGCTGCTTTTATTAATAAACATGACTTTAATTTATTTTAAGCTAGTGAAATAATAAATATAAACACTCAATTGGAATATAAAAAAATTGTATAAAAAACTATAATATAAAAAATCTCAGAATAATTAAATAAAAATAATTACAAGATGAATTTATATTTATTTTAATATTATTAATTATAACTATTGTGTCGAGTTTATATTTATAAAAATTTTATTGTGTTTTTAAATATGTGTATAATATATATTTAATTTTATGTTCTTTTGAAAACAAACATGCGTTCCTTATACGCTACTGAATTGTATGTAATTTATGGATATAAGACTTGGATGTATCTCACATTTAAAGTGCTTAGATTATTAGATTATTGAAATTACAATAATTATGCTGACAAAATATGGAAGAGAAAAGGTCATATATATATATTCCTTTCTAAAACGAAACTTTCTCTAGTTGGAGACAAGACCTAGTCTTACTAATAACCACTGCATTATTGCAAAAGATTTTCAGATATTGTTGATGTTGGCTGAGAAATCCGTTTAGTGTGTATTAATAGCTTTTACTAACAATAGTGATAGTTTATCTACTTCAATTGTGAACTGATATCAATTAATGTCTTTGATTTAATTTTAATTACGTTGATTTAGTTGATAAAATAAACTCTAGCAAACACTTTTGAGTTAAAGATTATATTTAGTATTTTCAAGAATATTTTTATTAATAAGTGTTTTTAATTTAATATTGTAAAAGTTTTTTTCTTGGCCAAAATCTGTAAGTACTTCGTTAGCAAACTCCAAAAATAATAATTCAGACACATTATAACATAAACATCTTTAAATGTGAAAATGATAAGTATGATTCTAATCTTTTTTATAAGAAAAAATTAAGTTGACTGTTACATCAATTAATATCTAATTTTTCCTTAAATAGTACGTAACGATGTATCTTTACCTCCACTCTGTATTATAAAAAGTGCAACTTAAAGATTTAAATTCCTTTTAAAAATATTTAAATTCAATAATTAAAAAAGTAAAATAGCCCTGTCATTAATTATAAAATTTGAATTCACTATGGCTATATATATGCAAATGATGCCCGTGAATATCTTATTTTCATAAAGAGTACGTTATTTAGGTTGTGTTTAGATTAATTTTAAAATTTAGAAATCATTTTAAAGTTAAATTATCTAAAACTTAAAAAAAAATATTTTTAATGTTTTTTTCTTAACCTATCGCAATTAATTCAGCCCCAAAATTTTGGGTTCGATCAAGTCAATAGTTCAGTTTGAATTTAAATTTTCAAAATTGAAAACATTTCGTTTAGGTTTCGATTTCCATAATTCAAACCCAATAAGACTCGGACTAGAGTGCTAATGTGACTTTTTTTTCAAGTGATATTATGTTTTTTTAATTCTTTTAATTTTTCTATTCTTCATTTTTAAAAATATTTTAATTTATTTTAATTTATCTGCTATATTAAAATTTTACGACAATGTTAATTATTTTTTGTCAATTATAATTTTAAAATTGACGAGTTATTAATTAATAAAAGAAATAAAGTGTATAACAAAAAATTACATAGTAATTTAATAAAAACGAAAACAGTAAGTACATTTCTTAATTAATTTCAGTGTTGAAAGTTTAAAAGTAAAAAATAAAAAAGAATGAAAGAATTATATATTTTATTTTTTCGACTACCATCCCCACTGGTCATTTCTTTTGTCCTTACAATTAACTGTTCAATATCTCACATCATTTTTGTCATTTTTACAATTTTCTTTACATACTTTATCCCTTCTTAACATTAAATATTCTTTCTTTCATCGATCAACAATCTCCAGGCACTGGGCAACGCTCTAAAGACCCATGACTTATCTCTCTAATTAAAATAAAGAATTCTGTATATTTAAAAGAATACAATAAGAAGTTAAAAATAATCTTTTTATAAAGTATATAAAAATTATTATTTTAAATTATAAAAATATGTACTACATATTTTTATAGTATTTTAAAACATTTAGAAAAGTATATTTAATATTCTTAATATATATTCTTAGACACACATTAAAAATATTATAATTAAAAACTCTTAAGTTTTTTGTCTCACTAATTTGATATTAAATTTTAAGATTTTTTTTATTTGTGATAAACTTTTAGAGGCTTTTTGGACTGCTTTGTAATTCTATGTTTCTGTCTCATTTTTCTTTTGTAAAAATATTCTCTTTAAGTTTTTTCTTAAAATCTGAAAAGTACTAACCTAAATATAATTCAGACCAACCCATGGAAGTTAATTTGAGTTGATTATTCGAGTCAGGGTTATAACATCTAAACCCAAAAACAAATAACCAAAACTACTAGTGAAAAAAGTTAAAAAAGGAAAAAGGTAAACTCCATTAGGGTACAAAAACACGTTTGTAAGGAAGGATAGGTTAAAATAAACAAGAGGATATGTAAGAGCAAACTTAATTTAGTAATTAGTGAATGAAGGTAATTTTGAAGCAAAAGATTAAGACTTCAACGTTTGTTTTATCATGAAGAATAAACGATCTTTTTATTAGATAATAATTTTAAATATTGAATCAAACCAAACTAGTAAGTTGAATTTAGAATCAGATTACTAGCTAGTTGGGATGATAAAGTCAGCTAAGTCACCATATTATAAAGCAGTCTAAGAATAATTGGATATGCTAAATCTGCGCATGTTTTCATGATTTGAACTGAATTTGTAAAGAACAATGTTTCATACACCAAAACCCAAATAAACCTAGTTATTAGTTAATCTCAGGATGAAGACTCAATCATCACTTTTTATTTATAAGAATGGGTTGCTTGATAAATAATTAAATTCATGAAGTACTATACTTGTATCTAAGTATGAATACAAGTTAAGGTATATTATTTTAAATAAGTCCAATTTGTTTTCTAAAAACAAAACTCTATCATCATTTATACACACACATTAAAAGTTTGGCTAAACTTTTATAAACATTTGACCTAACATAAAAAAATATTTCGCATTCAGTGCTTTGAGTAAGCTAAAAACTTATTATATTGCAATATATTATTTTAACTTATCGTGTATAATATAATGTGAAAGAAGCCATAAGACAAATTGACAAGAAAAAGGCTTCAAGTCTCAAAATTAATCACCAACCCCTCCAATAGACAGATGTCATAAATCATAACAGGATAGCTAAAATGGACAGA